TGGTTTAGTCCTACATTAGCCCTAGTTTAGTCGTACATTAGCCCTTGCTTTTTCCGCTATAAATAAACACAAAAATAAAGGTAAAATAAGAACTCTGACGATTCAGCAATTTTTGAAGCTTTTCAACATTATTGATTCATTTTTCATCGTTTAAGTCAGGGGTTCCCAAAGTGGAGGTCAGGACCCCTGAGGTATAAGGAGGGCCAAAATCCATCATGAAACACAGATTATGTGAACACATTACATTTTAAATGGTACAATTTATTTCAATCTATTCAAACATTACACTAAATATGAAAGTCACAATGAAATAATTGAGATCCTCCTTGAAATGTTTAAAATAAAATTCAAATTATGACATCCAGGCTGAAACCCCATGGATGGATCATTTGATTTAATGAGAAGCTTTAGACCAGAATAACTTATTTTTTTCCCAATTGTTTATATAAATATACTTTGATTATGTTTTGAATTATTAAAAATGTTTAATGAGCAGTACAGAGAGGAATTAGATTAATGCTGATGATTTTTTATGGCAGATAAACAACTAAATAACTATTCTAATAACTGGTTGATCTTTGTTTTCTACTTATTGAACCTCAGAGGTCCATAGAAGCCCCAGCTGCTTCTCTAAATCACTCCATGTTTAGAAATAAAGCAAACTAACACTTAAAGCCTCAAATGTTCCTGCTGAAAACCGAGCTGCACAAAGTTTGGTCCTTCCTTCAGAGGTTATTGTAAAAGTTTCTGTCAGGACACAAAGCCAGATGTGAGGAGGAGAAAAACTGGACAAACAGGAAAGTCCACAGCAGCTATCTGATTCCACCTGGAACTTTAAAGATCCAAACCGGTTCTGATGGGTTCATCCCGCACAGCTGTGAGGGAGGAATGGCGGCGGACTCACCTGAGGAGCTGGGGCTGACATGGCGGTCAGGTGCGCTGAAAACAACCTCGGACAAATCTACCTGCTCAGGTGAGCTGGCCGCCGCTGCTTCTTCCTGAACCACCGATGGAAACAAATCTGGTCAAACCTTTGAATCCGCCCTGACGTCACGGCCCGGTGATTGGCTGAGCGCGAGGACAAGGATGCACCTGCAGCCAATCAGGCGGCAGCGAGGATTGCACCTGCAGAGGGAGAGCAGCGATGCATTCCAACAGCCTCCTCCCTGCGTGGAAATCAGGGTTTTACCGCATGTCACGGTGTATGAATATGGCAAGCCGTTTTAATATTAATTCGGTTTCGTCTGACCATCCATAATTACGTTCCAGATGTCATAAAATACATTTTGATTAGACAAAACCACATTTTGACTATCCGGAATGGTAATTTAAGATATCTGTATTTACATTCTGATTAGGAAGAATAATAATTCAAAATATCTTAAATTACATTTTGACTTGTCAAAATTCCTTTCAAGATATCTCAAATTATGACACCGCATTTGTCATTTAAAGCGTCACACGCTGATTTAACTTTTCCTCCTTTGGATTAAACTGACAGCAAGGAATTTTTTTAGGAATGATCCTCCTGGAAGTCAATTAAAAATATCATGACACATTTTGCCTAGTCAGAATGTCAATTTAAGATATTTTCATGGAAAAGCTGAATAATTCAAGATATCTTTAATTCATTTAGAGATATCTTAAAAGGAATTTCGAATAGTCAAAATTACAATTCAAGATATCTTTAAATTTGTTTTGTCTAGTCATTATTTGCTTGAAAGATATCTATAATTTAGATTTCACTAGTCAAAACTGCATATCTCCTATCCTAAAATACATTTAAGATTTCATGAATTATGGTGGCATTTGAGATATCTTTAATTAGAATTATGACTAGTCAAAACTAAAATCGAGATTCTTGAATTTACTTTATGACTAGTCATAATTTAATTGTAGATATCTGAAATGTGTATTTCAGATAGTCAGTAATTCATTCTAGATATCTTAAATTGACATCTCCATAAAACTTGGTAAAAAATGGTAAATCTGACGTCATTTCGACTAGTCAGAATGTAATTAGAGATATCTCGAATAGGTATTTTGACTAGTCAAAATATAATTAGAGATATCTTAAATTGCTAAAACGTCTAGTCATAAAACTATTTGAGATATCTTGAATGTAAAGGCGGAACAACCGAATTTATGTTAAAACGGCTTGCCATACTTTGTGTGAGTCACAGCGTGGATCCACCATTCAGGATCTGCAAACTAAACAGGTTGTTCCAAAACACGCAGAGTATTTTAAGAATCATTACTGCCCTGTGAAATAACCTCACAACAAGTTAGTGAAAAGAAATCCCTGGAATGTGATATTAAAAAAGGAAAAGTTCACCTCATTGTGGTTAGATCTGTTCCTAACATGATCAGTTTTATTTTCACCAGCTTTAGTTAACTAGAAATGTAACATAAGGGCAGAATCCTCCATATGATCCACACCTGTAACCGTCTGTGGAGCCTGGATACGCCCAGCAGGGATTATCTGACGCACAAAAACACACACAAAGAGTTTAACCTGGACAGGTTTCAAAAGGACATTAGAAACTGAGGATGAACTCTGCTGACATCATAATATGTCAGCAGACAACACAATAAATAATAATAATAATTTGCAAAAAGCCAGTTTCCACTCCATAACTATCCTTTTAGAGGAGTGGCTGTGTTCTGTCAGATGAGCATACCCGGTCAGACCAGCATACCCATAGTCAATACCCAAGTTTTTATCCCTTTAGTTTATCCTTTTAGTTTTGTATGAAAAATAGACTTTAAACTACTTCAACAGGTTTGTATCCTTTTAGTCGTGTACAAAAAACGATTTAATTTCTTATTTTTTGGCAAGGGCGTAGGGTTGACTCAACCTTGGTAGGGACACTATTGGTCTGATGTCATTGGTCCTACTCATTATGCATGCTCCTATGTTTTTTATGCTTGACATGAGCATCAGGGTACATTTCGTTTAAAGAGAAAATGTTGGGATCTGGAGGTCTGTCCACTTTCTCAACCAGAGGGCGTACGAGATCTCCTGGAGCCGGAGCTGATTGCTACCACCTGTCGCTCATCTGCTCATCAGG